ATGTAACATTTAAAACCATAGCAAAAGTTATTCAAACTGAAGAGGTAAAGATATTCAAATTGAAGAGGTAAGTAACTTGTAAACCCAATCCTCCTTCCTTCTTCGGTGATTTACAACAGTTAATAAAGAAGATAACTTGTAAAAAAATCAAGCTAAACAGCTCATGTTTCTATCTTCTATTAGGAATCAAGTGTAGCACTATCACAAGAGCAGAGCAGCACAGAGAAAACAGCTAATGAAGTGTCTGACGAGCAGATTCCAAGAGAAGTATATATGGCTGAGAGCAGTAGAAAATCCTAGCTCTGTCTCTACTGAAAGTTCAATACTTCAACTGTGATATCAGGAATGAACCAGAAAAAGAGATGAATATACACCAGTGAATGTCTCTAATTGTGAAAGACAGGCAATTTAAATACATTAGAAAGAACAAAGTTAGGATGCAATAAAATAGGTGACTCAAAAGAAATAGCAGCATATTCACAAATTGAATTCACAAATTGAAATCACTAACAAAAGACTAGCAGCAAGAACCAAATTGACGTTCTGATGCATAAATGCCATGCAAAACATAAAAACATAATTAACTATAAATAAATATTGATATTTTAATCAGTAGGTTTAAGCTCATTCCACTTAAACCTATCAATATGCAAGCCAATCTAGCAATGTTATTTTATAGCTAATCATCTGAGACAAAGTAGGCCTCATGGATATCACCAATACCACTACAAAATTTAAAACCCCAGAAGCTATACATTTTGGATAAGATTAGAATCCATAATTCTCAATACTTCAACAAAGCAGCATTATTCACTGTTCAGTCACTTATATGTGCAACTTGTCATTCTCTATCGCTTATTTGAAGAAATGTATCTTCTGGGTTTTGCTTTGTGGAGAAGCAGTTGCTTCTGCAAAAATATGTAAAACTCTCATCATATTCTCCTAACACTTATATGGTGCTGTGTAAAAGGAAATAAGGAATCCTTTACCTTTATCACAAACGTCTTCAACCCAGTCATTCATTGTCCCCACTTTACCCCAACTAATCCACTAATTTGACAAAAGCCATGCCGCAAAGCAATTAGAGTTGGTCACCCCGCACAAAGTTTTCTTTTTTTCATAATACTTTTAACTGAATTTTGGATAGTGACTTTCGACCAAACATGAGCTTTCAATTTCAGTTCATATTGCTCCCACACATTCATTAATCAAAATTTTCCTTTCCTCTAAGGAAGGGTCCAATATAATCATGAACAAACTAGTGAACAATTCATCAAAACCCAAAATTTACACGCAACAATCCATCTATGTACCTTTTGCACACCCCAGTTCCTACATGCTAGCTAGAACCTCTTTGTTAAGGCCTATATAATTGCACATTTACTTGTATTCCAAAATCATGAGCATGATCGCAACCAAAACAAAATAATGCACTTTGCGTATAATTAATAATTAATTATATAATTAATAATTCTATTATTAAGTTCCTGCTAAATGCACTTTGCATATCCACACTTAAAAAATAAATGTTAATTTGTTTTTGGGTCACACTTACATAAAATGCAAGTGTCATCAACATTTTGTGTCCACTATTTCTGTCTAACCTTGGTTGTGAGTCTATTAAGGGTAGCTAACAAATTTATGAAATTGTACTTAGGTATTGCATAAGAGTACCAAAGGTTACTTTCCCTGTTTTTCTCTAATCCAATGCCAAGTAAGATACCAAATGTAGAAGGTGTCCAGCCTACAAAATCTTTCTCTAACAACCTGAATTTCAACTAACTGTGGTGACCTAACATGAAGCCAACAACAGCAGTTGTCATTCACTACTACAAAAAGTTTTGCATGAAATGGGAGACCTGCATCTCTAATAATCCTTTGCCCATAGACTTCCGAAAGTGACCCAGATGGAACTATTTCCTTCTTTTATGAGCACCATTTTTAACTTTATGATTTATAAAACATAACAAGATAGCAAAGCAAATGAC